GTTGCCAGGCATGAGCCTGAGGCAGAAGGCAGGAGAATTGCTGTAAATTCCAGGCCAGCCTGAGCTAGGTAGTGAGACCCTATCTCAAACAAAACAAAACAAACAAACACCACAGTTGAATGGTGGCCTGTGTGTATGGAAAGAAGCTGGATTTTGGAGGATGAAGCTAATGTCTGTAGTACTTTCCAGGCCTGAGTCCAAGGTAGGGAACTGTTAGGACTTTGAGTTTGCTGTTAAATTTAGAAAAGTGTGGCCCAGGGCCGGGGATTTAGCTCAATGGTTCTCAGCCTGCCTCGGAAGCACAAGGACCCAAGTTTGATCCTCGGTACCAAAAAAAAAAAAAAGAAAAGAAAGAAAAGTGTGGCCTGGAGTGTAGCTCAGTGGCAGAGTATTTGCCTAGCATGGGAAAGGCCATGGGTTCCATCCACAGCACTGAGAAAAAAGAAAAAAAAAAAGTAGTGTAGGAATTTTCCATTCTAGATACCCGACCAAGTCTCTGCCCACAGGGAATACATTCCTAGCTCCCCAGGGAATGCCTAAAACTGCAGATTGTCCTGAACTCTAGCCATACTATTTTTTCCTATATATACATACTCATAATAAAGTTTAATTTATATGTTAGGCAAATATGTTAATAATAGTAACATAATAAAACAGAATAAGGGCCGGGGATTTAGCGCAGCGGTTCGGTGGCCTGCCTTGCAAGCACAAGGACCCAAGTTCAATCCCCAGTACCAATAAATAAATAAATAAATAAAATAAAACAGAATAAAGCTGGGCATGTTGGCTCATGTCCTTAATCTCAGTACTCTGAGAGGCTGAGGCAGGAAGATCCCAGGTTTGAACCAAGCCTGGGAAATTTACTTTAGAGAGACCCTGTCTCAAAGGCTGGGAATGTAGCTCAGTGCAAAGACCCTGGGTTTGATCCCCAGTACCACACACACACACACACACACACAGGAACAGGAAATAACAGTAATATACTATAATAAAAGTTTGTGAATGTAGTCTCTCTCACAAAACATCTTGTATTGTACTCAATTTCATATTGTGCTGATGTCAGAAGAAATACGGTGAATAGATGTAGATCAATGATACAGCACTTGCCCAGAATGTGGAAGGCCCTTGGTTTGATCCTCAGATCTTTGAGAAAAAGTGAAGGATTAGACTACTACTGACCTTCTAAATAGGGTTTGTTTTATTTTTGTTGAGACAGGCTGTTTAATCCAGGCTGGCCTTGAACTCACTATGGAGCCCTGTTGCAGAGATCCTCCTGCTTCATCCTCCTGAGTCATGCCGGGATCACAGGTGTGAGCCACCACACTCAGCCTGTTGACCTCCTGACATCTTGCCAGGAGTACTGTTGGCCTCGGGGCCATGATCTTCTGCCAAGACATCAGAAAGAATACCACCTGCTACAGATGATCCTTGTACCATGATGGTGTAGATGGCTTCATGTGCTCTGTAGCTGATTGAAGGAAACAAGTTATGGAAAATGAAACTGCAGGGCACGTGGGCAGTGTTGTACTTTGTGGTGAAATGGACCAATTCCTAAATCCACAAGAACTCATCAGTTTTTTTTTTTTTGTTTTTTTTTTTCAGAACCAGGGACTGAACTAGAGATGTTGCACTTGCCAGGCAGGCACTAGTGCAGCTGAGCTAAACCTCTGGTCCTTGTCACTTTTTTTTTTTTTTTTAAAGGTGATCTTACCAGGTGTGGTGGTGCAGGCCTGCAAGCTGAGCCCTCAGGAGGCGGAGGCAGAAGGATCACTATGAGTTCCAGGCTTGCCTGGGCTACTTAGTGAGTTCAAGGCCTGCCTGCACTGCACAATAAGATCCTGTCTCAAAACAAACAAAAAACCACACACACACACACACACTTTTTTCATGATTACCAATGGCACTGGAGACCGATTGCTGTGAGAGACTTCAGGGCTCAGGGACTGACGTTTGGTTGTGGAGTCCGTGGAGAAAGAACATCACAGGGGCAATCAAAGGACTGGTGCTGGGGATTGAGCCCTGATCACCTTGAAAGTTTCTTGATGGTGAGCCCTTTGATGGTGATTTGGTGTCTCTTGAGTATTACTCATCTGGAGAGGAGAGAGCAGGCAAGTCTGTGGCTAGGGTCAAATTTCCCCTGAGTGTAGACCTGATCTCCTTGTTCCTTCGGATAATACTAGAGAAATGTGACCACACTTTAGGTAGAGTTTCCTTGTCTCCTTTTTGGCTTTTTGAGACAGGTTTTGCTATGTAGGCTTAGCTGGCCTAGAACTCAGTGATCCTCCTGCCTCAGCCTCCTGAGTAATACTGGGAATTACAGGTGTAGGCCATCACACCTGGCTTTAACTTTATCTTTGTGGGAATCACCTGATTTGATATCACCACACTCATAAGTTTTTATAAAATATTTAAATAAACAAAAATATAAATTTTAATAATTGTGCAAATAATGTACTGTTATCTTTGTCTTATAATACAGAATAAATCCCCTTTCACTCTCACTTATATTTTTCCCAAAAAATAATCATTATCAATGCTTTGGGAACCCTCTTCCAGTGTCTTTCGTGTACATTTCCTTACTGCGTACACACAGACACATTTGCTTTGTGGTTTTTTTTTTATTTGTTTTGTTTTTGAGACAGGGTCTCACTATGTAGTTGAGACTGACCTGGAACTCACTATGTAGCCCAGGCTGGTCTCGAACTCACAGCGATCCTCCTGCCTCAGCCTCCCGAGTGCTGGGATTTACAGGCGTGAGCTGCCAGGCCCGGCTCAGATACTTTTGCTTTGTATATAAATGGCACTTCCTCGATTTATAGGTGAGAAACTATGAGAGCGGACATGTTGACAAATTTGTTGAAGAGAAGTTTTCTTTATTTTGGGTGGGTGAGTGTGGATGGAACCCGGGCCCTGTCCACTGTACTGCATTCCTAGTTGCCCAGGCTGGCCTTCTTCGCTGCGCTCCTCCAGCCTGTCTACCAGAATGTTGGGATGACAGGCGTGCTCCACCATGTCCAGTCGTTTACACGTCTACTTTGTCAGTCCTTGAGCCTTCTAGAAGGAGCAGGATTACAAGAAGGGATCTGGTACATTATTTTATTTCTGCTGGATGGATCGCTGCACAGGTAGTCAGCTCGACGATGCGGATAAAAGTTTTATTTATATTAATTTATCTGTGTGTGGTACTGGGGCTTGAACTCAGAACCTTATTCACACATGTTAGGCAAAGTGCTCTACCACTGAGCTAAGGTCCTAGCCCAAGATTTGTTTTTTGTTGTTGTTGTTGTTTTGGTTTTTTGAGACAGGGTCTCAATATGTAGTTGAGACTGACCTGGAACTCACTGTGTATCCTAGGCTGGTCTCGAACTCACAGCGATGCTCCTGCCTCAGCCTCCCGAGTGCTGGGATTACAGGCGTGTGCCACCACGCCCGGATCAAGATTTGTATTTTGATGAGAGCTGCAGGATACCAAGCAGAGTAGAACGTGGAGGTGGGGGGGCGGGACACGAACCCAAAGGAAAAAAACCCAAAACTGCCACCGACAGTTGGATCTGGTAGGAAAGCTTGTGAAGTTGAAATTCGAAGAACCTATCACCTCCCTTGACTGACTCTTCCCTTGGAAACTGGGATGGGCGGGAGAGCCGGGAGAAGGCATCCGAGGTTGCAAAGTGGATGCGGAGTGCAGTCAGCCAGCCAGCGGCCAACCCTGAAGCTGAGAGCAGCTATCGGGCCGGGGAAAGGGCTAGTGCGCTTGCGCGGACCGCCCGCGAGAGGAG